ACACACACACACTTTATAGAAAAAAAAAATTGGGACACACCTCTTAATTATTGAATTCAAGTGTTTTAAATCAGACCCATTGCCACAGGTGTATAAAATCAAGCACCTAGATATGCAGTCTGCCTTTATAAAACATTTGTGGGGGAGCTTGACTGCCAAGCCAGCTAGACGCACCTAATCTCTGAGATCACAAATCTGATATTAACGGTTATACAAGCCAATTCGTGCTTTCATCTAACCGAACACAGGCTATACACTCTTAAGATTCCCGCAAGCTCTACACATATGTATAATATCGGCAAATGGCGCTTCTGTAATGGACCGAAGTTGCAGCCTGCAAACAGCTGAGACAGAGAGCCGGCCTCTCCTTGTTCTCAGGTCAGCGGTGGTGACCCTATATGCTCCTATCTCCCTCTGGACTGGTGGGTCCTGGCTCAATCAACTTGCACAACTCTCAAGGTTACCGCATAGTTAAACTCCGGTTACCACCAAATCAAGACGGCAGATATCGAGATGCCTGCAATGCTCCAGTCTGCTCCATTTTGGGCTTCATGGGAAGAGTGCCTTGACAGGGCTTTCGCCAACATATGGTTGAAATTCTGGAGTGGGATCCAGCAGCCGGCACAGAGGATCGCAACAACAGCCAATACCCAGACATATACTGATAGGAATGTAACCAAGGCAAGACCCGCAGAACGAGACCCTGATGCAGTACCAAAGGTGAAGAAGCGGTGGAGAGTGCCCTGGACAACATTCCGGCACTGACGTACCAGACCCGCAGTGCTCCTTCTTTTAGTGTCACGTCAATGATGCACCAAGATCCTCTTGTGTATTATTTTATAAAAAGGTGATGTACCCTCAATGTTTCATGCAACATCCAGCCATGTTTAATATTTTAATATCATGTATAATCTTGGCTGAAATGCCTTTTCCTCTTTGCAGCAAACAAAAATAAAGAATTAATAAAAACATTTGAGAAAAAAAAAAAAAAAAGTCATTCTAAAGCGCTCAGTAAGTACTAGAGTGGCAATTATGCTAGGATACCATCTTTGCAATAAGGCAGTTCGTGAAAATTCCTCCCCATTAGATATTCCATGGTCACCTGCAAGTGGAAGCTTTTACGAACAGCAGCAACTTAGC